CTATTACATTCTCGCAGGATTCGTTCATCCATGTAGATGCCTTCAGCGCTTTGGTGTAATGTTCACATAGCTGCCGGTGTCCCATGGCATCATCAAGATAACCTTTTGCATTCCACAGAAGAATGGCCAAGGAAGCACCGGTATCACGGGGTTTGAATAAATGGGTCACTTCTGGCCTTGGCAGCCAGAAATTGAGAGCTATGAGCGTTTTCTTTCTTACGTAAGTGGATCCACACAAAAGCGTCCCTTCTAAAGTCAGAAGTTTCATCCGTCACCTGTATCACCTGCCATCCCAGCAGCGATTCCTTCATTCTCAATTATTACAAGACAGTGTATTACAGTGACCCTTTTCGTTGAAAGAGGAGGCCATGCGAAACATATCTTTTGTTTGAAGCTTTTGGAATGTAGTTTGACCACCATGTAGGAGGGTGCCCGTTTGTTTGCTAGAAGACTTGGGAGCTCCTCCTGGAACCACATTGTTTAAATGGCCATAGCAGAACCGCATGACGTTTCGAGGCTATCTGGTCTTTGAGTCCTTGATGTGCACGGCAATGTCTCTTATCTTCTTCCGTTCAACTTCCCTTTGCACTGGGAAATTGGGAAGTCCCAGTCCCAAACACAGTCCACAACATTCTTTCTACCAAGTGTTATATCACGCTAACTGCAGGGCGATATGGCTGCCTGCCTGCAGAGAGTCAAGCAGCCATATCGCCCTTGATTCCTTCACCTGAGGTAGGAGGAATAGCCTGCTCTACCAATTATGGCTACCAAAGTCCACTACAATGTCTCGCCAACAACAAATCGTAGAGCGTGAGGCCCTGCAGGGTTCGGGCCAAAACATCTGGCAAGCCTCCCGATAGTTAGCCACGGATAATTGGATACACCTGCGACGAGAAAAAAGTATAAGTCGACTGAGCGCAGCAAAAACAGGGTGTCCACTCCTCGATCCACCTGTATCTCAGGACATATGCAAATGTTTCTTTTCATATATGATTTACCCTATCACCCACTTGGTGTTTGATCAAGCAGATCTGCACCATACGATTACATCTTTTGGAGATAGAAACTTCAGCGTAGAAGATTTACTCGAAAAGATTTTCAATTAGAAGATATTATGCAGGTGAACAGAATCAAACGGTGAAGCGATGGTGAAACGTTCAATCGGAATTAGCGAACATTCCTCATTTCTTTCCTTTTTTTTTGTAATTTTTAATTATCAAGGAGGAAATTTATGAGATGTCTCTCGTCCTATTGAAGCTGTATATAGTAACCACGTCAGTTACACCGAGCTGACCACTTGTCCACGGAAAAAAGTTCAATGTGTGGGGATTCGAATCGCGGCTCGTTTGTGTCTGATAGTGCGCTACTTGCTACTGCAACACCTCTGCTCTTACAACTCTACACCCACTAACCACTTCGTAAGTGGGAGAATATTGATACTGATGGATGCGATATTTTATTCGAAAGAAACCAATACACATCTTGTACTAAAGTGTAAAGCTGGAATTTGGCATGAATTGTTTGCTTGTTTGTGAAGCTCTTGAGAATAATGGTTGTTGGTTTCAGGACTGATTGGCGGTGTGCTCATCCCACACCTGACAGGCACATACATTCGAGGATTCTTTTGTGATGATGAATCAATCCGCTACACCTACAAGGAGGATACGGTCACCCCAGCAGTTCTACTGCTTTACGTGTTTCTCGTGATGATAGCGGTGGTAAGAATGACTAAGAGCTATTCCCCAGAATATCGTTTAGAGATGATTTCTGGGATTTTTTTAATCGAATCAAAAGGAATGCTTAGTTTTGCATCAGAAAGCGTAGTCAGGCTTGTGCGTAATGGACCTCCTGTGATGAATGTAGCGTCCACTTCCTGTTTGTAGCCTGCTTCCATGTGAATTACGATAAGGCTGGAACTAAGCAAACACAAGGAGTCGGCCAATGTGATATCAAAAAGAGGAAATCGATTGAGAATTTAGGGCTGCCCCTCTGACAGATTCGTTTGCGGTTTTTCATGGATGGGCTATAGATCATTTCCCTTCTGTGTTACAAGGGTATGCCCCATTAGGCTCAATAAGGATCTGAAGGTTCCGCGCTATTCTGAAAACACTGATTCGAATCTCCAAGATGTTCCAAGCAATTACCCTAAAACGGGACATATCACATCTACATGGGTTATTGTTGAGGGCACAGTTCACGGTAATTCTAAGGAGTCTAGTTTGTAAGATAATGAAGGTTGTGATGCCGAATATTGCGAAGGTAACGAAGAAACTGTAGGAATGGGCTGATTTAAGGGAGTACAAGATCTAGGAAAAGTAGTAATAAAGGAGGCTGTACGAGATTATGTGTCTGTAACCGTCTGGGTGTCTCCTATATAAGCGTACTATTCGCCGGCGTCCTAGCTCTTCATTCTGAATGGTGGAGCTTAACGAGGCGTTCATAACACGGTCACATTCAGTGTGTATATCGACCAAGTTAATTTTGGAGCCTTTATAACGCCCTATCAAGGTCATTTTTCGTCCCGACAATTTCCTCCTTGCTATCGTGGGGGCTTGGGGGCCACATGTGATTCATCTCAGAGGAAAATCTCAGAAACCGTCTTTATCGTGAATTTTGCCTTCAATTCGGGAGTTGAAGACACGGAAAACAAGGTCCGTTGAGGAGTCAAGTGAGTAGAAAACGAGGAACTAATTGGAAATACTTAAATAACATAGGAACTTGAGTACAAATGAAAAAATGCTGCTATCATTAAGGTTGCTGCCACTGAAATGTATCGAGCAAAGATAGATCCTCCGAACTCCATTTCACAATACAGGCTCGGTAACACTTCCGTACAGCCAACCGTAATTCGAATAATCAATTATATAGGTATCTCTTATTCATTATTCTATAGATAACTATAGCTCCACATTCCTAGTTTCCCCACTGAGCTTAACCACGAAACCATCGAATGTTCCAGGTTATTCTCAAATAGGGTTCGTTTGTCTGTACGTGGTTACAAATCTGACGAAAAATTGTCTTGGAAGATTGAGACCCAATTTCCTCGATGTCTGCAAGCCGTTGAATATCACATGCCAAGGGCATGAGTAGGTTACTCAGGAAGTATCTCATGTGGGTGATGTCAGTCTATGCAAAGCTATAATTACAGGTATTATGACAATTACAAATGCAGTGGTAATCCAGAGATGGTAGCTGAGGCACGGAGATCATTCTTCAGCGGACATTCTTCGTTCGCTATGTATGCGTCGACATTCGCAGCAGTAAGCCTCATCATTCATTTCTATAGATTAGGACCGTTAAAACACTGCAGAGAGCTGTAAAGCAGCGCAAGGAAGAAACGCCCTCTCCACTTCCTATTCTCAGAACTCCCTGGCCTTCTACTGCTTCGAACGTAGTTTTGGATTCAATAAAGTGGAAAAATGGCAAGAGCCGAGGTCTCCATATGCTGGAAGCCTTGGTGGCTTTTGTCAAGAATAGGAATTAGGTCTCCCATTCTATTGTATCTGTCCGAACGTGCATCATTCGATATGCTGCCATGATTCCAAATACACAACAACAGTCAGCACCCATCGCTTTGCAGATTAAACATATATAGGATTCTGAAGCATGAAACTTCCTCGAAGCACGTTGCCGAACTTATAACGTTCGGTTGTTTCGTGCTCGAGGCTAGCAACACAAAAGGATAAAATCTTTGAGAGATAACCAATCCCGGCGGAGGGATGCACCCCCTGCATCCGTCTCCCAAACACAACTCCATTCCAGCATCCCAAAGCTCGATTGTTTTTAACTTGTGTTATTTCAGCGAGAGTGATCTGTTTCTTTTTCAGATTTACTTGTATGCCCGAATACCACGACACACCTTGTGCCGAACTGCACTCCCAATCATTCAGACCACACTTTTGGGCATAGGTATGTAAGTCGACTCTGGTAAACCAGCAAACACTACTCCCGCCAATCGAAGACTTTTTTTCAAGGACTCCTAATATCATATTCGCGCATTAACGATCATAAACATCATTGGAGCGACGTGATTATAGGAATTCTCGCTGGCGTGGGCACGGCAGTATACACGGTGGGTGGATTCTATGACTCAATTTTATTCGTAGGTTTGTCCCGGAGAAAGTAGTGGTAAAATCTGATCATATGCCGCATGATTCCTAAAAATTTTATGATCGCAGTCAACCTTCGTAGCAACACAGATACCTGGAATATGGGAATTCACCTTGATTTAGTGTGTTGTATGGGCGCAAATGTTCACGAAACCAACTGAAGAGGTGCTTCCTATACACAATATACACACAGGATACACAGACGTGACCACAGGTATACCTGCTAATGCCAACCAGGACTACGGAAATTCTCGGGAAAGGTGATGATCAAGTGAGTCTTACATCTACATTCATTCGGTCAAATCTACAAGATTACAGAAAGATTTTCCTCTTATGTTGCAGGCGATGGAATATAATGGCGATGTTTAAATCAAGACCAAGAACATCGGACAATAAGCGAAAGGGCAAACGTAGTCCTAAAATTAATAAATGTTATACAGTAGTCACTTCATCGAAACAAGTTTATCCAGAGATCCTGAACACGTTTACCAAACAAATAACAACATAAAAACCTTGACCATATTTAAAAACGAAACAAACGAACGCGGAACCGTAAACTCAACAGCCCAGGAGAACTTCACTAGAGCATAGGATATGAAGTGGCCTGAAAAAACACCTGAATTGGAAGTTTTCATGTTTGAACTGCTAGAGAAACTGCGATAAACAATTTTTCATTCACGTTCGCAAGTTACTCGTACGAATCTCTACGCATATTAAAAATTCCAGTCACAAATGTCCGGAGGATTCATGGAGACATTTCATTTGAGTATATTACATATTTGTAGCAATGGCGTTAGACTCAAATTCAATGTAAGCTAGGCATGATGGGGAGGAGTGAGCTCTCAGCCTTCATATTTTGTAAAAAACGACAGATTATAACGACTAACCAATTCAGCGACCTCGTCCACGAGGCCCACCGCGCCCACGTGGGCCACCTCTGCCTCTACCACGCGGACCACCACGTCCTCTGCCGCGAGCACCAGCACGAACCCTGGCAGCCTTCTTGCGTGGCTCGTCATCAATAAGCATGGTATCAAGTGGAAGTGAATCCGGAAGAATAATGTATCGAATATTGTTTCCTGAAATCAAATAATCCGAAATATAGAAAGAATATTCTACACTTAACGGCAGTTGAAAAAATATCTTCGAGGACCACTTAACCAACGGGAGGAAAGAACAGTGAATTAGGAAAACTTTCATCATGCAAAATAGAATGCAGCGCTCAAGTGCTCTCATGAACTTCACATTATGAGGTACTTCACGGTACTCCTCGCAAACTCNTGCAAAATAGAATGCAGCGCTCAAGTGCTCTCATGAACTTCACATTATGAGGTACTTCACGGTACTCCTCGCAAACTCTTGATGGTTTTTGCATAAAGAACGAAAGTGCTTTCCAGTCTTTCAAAAGAATTATCAATAGATTACATAATTATGAGAACACACAAGCCGCAGTTCGCTCATATGTATCCTCCACTGATCATTAGCCGTAAAAGCAATAGCGCCCCAAAATATATTGCCACTCAAGCTGCTAATTTGGGTTGATGCGTGTTATTGTGTTTTTTTTTTCAAAAAATTTCACTTAACAAAGCGATAGAAGCATTTAACAAAACATACTCAAATAATTCCCCGAAGCCCAGTCATCACCTAAATGAAGCACTGCTTCCCATTTGATGGGCATGCGATTCCGTGGGCGATGCAATTTTGATTCTTGGAGACGATCCACGCCTTGACATCGGCCACCAAGTCACCCAATTCGTCGTAAATTTTGTTATTTTAACAAATTTTTCAACATGGTAGTCCGCAGGAGCTTCTGTCAGCAGATATGGCGGATGGAGGCGCAGATCCCATTATTTACAGGCGAACGATTCGACAACAAAATCCTTGGGATCGCCAAGTGACCCTGCCGCCTTCCAATCTTTCTCGAGGCGGTAGAGCATGACGTTCCCATTGGATGGGCATGCGATTCCGTGGCGCAATCTTCAGCCTAAGTGTTCACATGGTTGTTTTAGACAAGCACTTCTACTTCAACCCCATTCGTCCCTTTTTACCATACTGCTGCCCAGAACCGGTCTAACCCCTATCATGTTCTATGCCATCGGAGGTTAGATGCCACCAAAACGTAAAAAAACGAAGTACGCATCCTAACTGAAGGCGTATATTGGTCCGAACATTCTGATTCTGGATCTCACAAAGATAATCCAGGTTGACGTCCTACCCAGTTTTCTAATGGAATCAGGTCACAGCAACTTCACTGCTTGGTGTGCGGTGTTTAAGCAAGCCCAGAGAAGGCTTAATGACTGTGCCACTAACTGGAGATCAGCATTCCTCCCACTTGCAAAGGTGTCTCAAATTAAATAGGAAGAATATACTTGCTGTTTGAAAGAAAAGCGTAATACAGCAAATACTCAGTCTTTCTTATTCGAATGAGAAACACACTCTCACACTATAAAATACCTAAACAGCAAGGCCTTCTGCGAACCTAAACCCCATGAAAGTCGTAAAACATGGTCTCAACAGATTGCAATTTCAAGCCAATTTCCAGTAATATTTGTTGAACGCGTCACTAATAACGCAGACTGGGAATTTCCCGAAAAGTGATTTGCCTGACTAGCGCTGAAGAGTCTACATAAGGAACCGTTTGATTAAAAGCCAGGAGGTAGCCCATGACCGGAGGCATGTGAGAACCTCTTCTGAGTGGCACTCGCTATTGAATGCGCATCCTCACAGTTTCAAACAACTACGACCTCAACTAGAAGGAGAATAAATTCTAACGGAGCGAAAATTCGAATTTATTTCTTCTCCCTTTCCTGCTGAATCCGCATTAAAGGGCTTCCTGACTACTTGTTCCGCCTGTACGGGCAGTTCCGAAGGCCTAGCACAATAGAAATGCCTCGGGGGCTCAGTCGGGGAAAAATAGATCATTGGGACCGTAGTACGGGATGGTAACCCTCCCAATGCCGCCCCATGGTACTACTACTACCACTGCTGCACCTTCCTTAATTACATGGCTTGAGAAAGATTCCCGAAAATGAACTCAATTCTAGCATGAATCATGAACTTGAACTGAACTTACCACGAATAGAAAGGGAATCCAAGTTAATGGGATCCTTATTCTTTGGAGTCATCTTCACAGACCGTAGGTGCATGTTCATAGCCACATCGACACCGATTATTCCTCCATGGACGAGTGTACCATTCTTTAACTCGATAGTCACCGTCTCGTGGATGAGTTTCATTAAAAAACGTACCAACTTCATCTTCCTTAAAAGGGGTGATCAATATCGAAATTAGCAAAACTGAGACAATTACACTTCGAACCGATCAATAACGTGTCACGACATACGATTAACAATCAATACTAAGGGACCCCACATCTGCAAAACGACCAACTTATGAGACGGCAAGGGTTGTGTCGTTTGTTGGCAACGAGCCAGAAAAATTCGAAAATCTTCCCTGATTCAAGGACGACCTTGACAGGAGCGAACTCGTCCACCTTTAGTGACGTTGCTGAGCGCTATTGATTGGCCTTCGCGTCCGTTTGCTGTGCGAAACTACGCCTGACGAAACTGTGGGCTTGATTGTTCTCTTGTATTCTTGTTAACGCTTGTCTGAACTTGTAAATTACCTGTCTCGAAAGTCTCCCGCTCATATGTTTATGGAGTTCATGGGTGAAAATGTAGTCGGGGGAGGGAAGGGTAGTGCTCTTTTCCATCACTGAGCTCACTTAGCAGAGGAGGGTTAGCTAAAGCCGCTATTGTACTTGTGCTCAGAGACGGTTTTTAGTCAGAGCAATATGGTTTTCAACTGAACTTCAAGAGGGGAAGAGCTCCGGGTAGGGTGAGATGATTACTTTGTGCAAAGAGCTGGCGTGGGATAGGATTTGAACGTTCGACTAGATCCGCACTCTGGAGCTCCCTGGCTTCCGAGGATTAGTCCTAAACTCTATATTTTCAATTTACGAAACATTCCCAAGCACGATTATGGCGTCGCGAATTTAGCTGACTCCCCTGTGCTCGCTATCGCCCAGTGAAGGAAGAGAGCGCTGACCTTCTCAACTACATTTTCACCTATCATAGATCTACTAGGTCATAAGATCCAAGTCATTCCATCCCTTGGGCGCATTCCCAATCATGTCGCTTTCGAAGCATGCGAGGTATGGGGCGAAAATGAAGTTGGAGAATCACTCAATTCTGCGCTCTCCGCTGAGGCAATACTAGTTGTCAGTTTCCATTTTGCATCTGATCAAGCTTCACCCCACAGAGCTCCTATTCATCTTAGGCGCCTGTAGGAAAGCTTGTCCTTATCTCAGAGTCCTTTCGTGTCCACCAAACTTTGGGGACGCAGAGCTCAGTGAAATAGCCTCTCCAAGTCCCCTTCACCTGAAAAACCGCTCGAGGCCAAGCCTACTATCATGCCCACTAGCTTATTTTCGAAAGTGTTTTGCCCCGGATCAAAAATGGGTCGACCGCAACGCTCGTTTCACAGGTCTCCCGCGTCCATGAGTCATGCATCGCAATCTGGGTTGCGGACGAGTTGTCGAGTTAAATGGGCGCGCCGGGAGGTGGGCGTTGCGGAGAACTTCGCGCGCTGCGTTCATTTCCTCTGTCAGGGTGCGTCAGATCGATGACGCTTATTTCTAGGCTCCCGTTGTAATGCGGGTGTTGGCAACGTCGTTGTGTTTTCATTTTATCCTGTAGTCTTTGATCATTAGTGGTAATTCGACGTTCTTATTGGACTAGCTGTGCAGTAGTAAACCTGTCTATAGCCTTTCAGACTAGCTGGGATGGCACGTGTTTATTTGGGACGGCTTCCGTTCCGTGCTCGTGAAAGTGACATTGAAAGGTGAGTTATAGTTATTCTTGTTCTAAGGATATCAATTCAATTTGTGCTTTCAGATTTTTCCAAGGCTATGGCAAGATCACCGACATTGCTATGAAGAGAGGTTTTGCGTTCATTGAGTTCGAAAGTAAAAGGGATGCAGAGGATGCTGTGGACGAATTGAATGGACGTTCCATCTTGGGAGACAGGTAAGGTCATTACATATAAACTGTGGTAAAAAAAAGTTGGGGTTTTTTATTGAGCGCTGAAGCCTCTCTGAGGTGTGGTAAAGAAGTTACTTCTAAACTAAGCGGGCGTTAGGTACGCTTTTCGAAATAGACCGGGAGTAGTTACAAAACAGGGTCTTTGCTTAGCTGAAACTCCAACTGCTTCTTTGGTGTAGGCACCTCTAAGTATTATAGTCTTCTGCGATTTGAGGGTCTGATTCCTGTTGGGATGTTATTTCCAATGCCTCTGGTTCTGTTTGTGTAAAGCATGAACTGGTTATGTGGAGTATGAATAAAATGTGGCACAGATGATCTCATTTGCTTTCAGAGTGCTTGTGGAGATCGCTAAGGGGCGCCCTCATGGAAGTGATGTATATCGCTATCGTTCTCGCTCACGCTCTCGAGATCGCAAGCGACGAAGCCGCACTCGCTCTCGAAGCCGAGACCGCAGACGAAGCAGGACGCCAAGGTATGTTGCATATATTTAGTGTTGAGTCTAAGAGCGGAAAAAGTGGCCTTTTTAAATACATCTAGACTTGTGAAAAAACTTGTATAAGTCTCAGGTTTTGTTCTTATCAGATTGATTCAATGTTGCATTAATGTAGACGTTTTCAGGAGAGGACGTAGCCGATCTCGCAGCCGAAGCGTCTCTCCAAAGCGACGTCGTTCAAGGCGTGATTCAAGCCGCTCCAGAAGTCGAAGCAGAACTCCCGAGAAGAAACGTCGTTCAAGGCGCCGTAGCAGAACCCCAAAGCGTGAAAAGCGTTCTCCAAAGAGTTCGCCTGAAAAAACTTCGAGCAGAAGCCCTTCACCTAAGAAAGGAAGAAGTCTCAGCAGATCCGCCTCTCCTGTAGCAGACAAACGGAATGACTCAGTATCGCCGAAAAGAAAACGCAGCAGCCTCTCTCCCAAAGACGTCAAGAGATCTCCCTCCCTCAGCCCATCCCCTAAAAAAGCAAGACGTAGCCGCAGTTCATCCAGAGACAGCGCTGACCGTACTCCCTCTCCTCGACGCGATAAATCAAGGAGTGCCAGTCCAGCTGCTGAGAAGGTAAATTTAATGTTTTCTTCTGGTTGTCTAGGCCGAGTGGTTAGCAAGTGTAACTAGCTGTTCTCATTGTATACTTAACCACGTTCAACCTTCTTTACCTCTTAATTTTTAGTAACCTTATGGTCATGCTGTTTTTTATTTTTGCCCTATACTTAGAACGGAAGAAGCAAGTCATCAGACGACAATGGAGACCGCTCGCCTCGCAGATCACGTTCACGCAGTCCTGGTGGAAGTGGATCGGATCGCAGCCGCAGTGTAAGCCCAGAGGAGAATGGAAAACGTCGTAGATCATCTAGTGATCGCAGTGGACGCAGTATTTCTGATCGTGAAGATTAGCGGAAAGTGAGTATTGCGATTGCTTTCTATATTTGCGTAAGTCGGGAATTTGTGGAACACTTATTGAATTGCGCTAAATCCGCAACCTACCCACTAGTTGAAGTTCTCGGTTCGTCATAAGACCGCAATAATCTATGAAGTGTTGTGTTGTTTACGTGGTCATGAACCCCCCTTACCTGAAGTCTTTATAATATCGCGACTTTATCCGTTGTTTTCTTGTTCATATACTATATATTTGGTCTAATATTAATTCGCATTTTTCAGTCTATCAATTTTGTTGGAGAGGTAGCAGTGTGTTTGTTTACATAAATATGTTGTTTGATAATTGTTGTCTCTAAATACGCTATTTGAGAGTTGCGCTCGGAGGACGAGGTCAACGATCACGTACAATCCGCTCCCCAAACCCAAGTTCAATCGTTCCGTGGTCCAATGGTCCAACAGTTCAATCAGTCACCACCACAACAACACAGTCCACTGCCATTTCGATTCCCACGATCTCGTCTATTTGCAAACAACTTAAGTTCAAATCGTTCGAGGACATCTGCANTTGGCTAGACGGTTGTTTGTAATTCTTTGCGAAAATTTCTCGATTAGGCGTCTTTCCCTTAGCCAGAAACGCTCGATCGCAGCTTTAGCAAAAAGTTTCCACGACTTCCACTTTCTAACTGCGACCAACAGCTGTTTTCTAAAACGCGATCGAATATGGTGCAACGTGGCCTTCAGTCGACATTCGAACAACCTCATTTCAGCGCTTCTGATGTTTTGAGGTACAGTTTTTCAGAAGTGCTTTATATAGTACGTTGATTCACCTCCAATTTGCAGAAGTTTAGCATTACAAATTTCCACAGCTGCAAAAGCATTTACAACCAGCATCGTTGTCATGTCTGGTAAGCTCGTTCCCTCTTCAATGTAAGATTAGTTGGATTCTGCCCGTTGGCATTATGAAGGTCCCGACTTTTCCAAGGGCCATGATAGGCCATTAGTAAGGGTAGCGCTAACCAACCAGTTCCATTTCTCCGATAATGAAAGGTAATGGAAGCTTCGTTTATTCATGCTAACGTCTAACAAACCTGCGTGTGTGATTAGTTATCTTGCAGAAACTGGGTCGCTATGCTTGCTAGACTGCTAATCGTAATAGGAGTCTATAAATTCGGTCTCCGGGCTTGGCATTACGCGAGGCGGTCGGCGCGAGTGGAGCGACGTTGTTCCAGCGAGATGGCTACAAGAAATCCACTCATCGCCCTGTACCCAAAAGAAGCGCGAGTAGATCAAACTAGCTTCCACAATGAGGTATCATACCTTCTCAACTTGCGTGTTCAAGTGCAGCTCTGTTGTGATTGGTGAGGTCGACACTGCACTTGCATTTCCATTCGGGTTTTCTATGTAGGGGGTCTAGGGTCGTCAAGGCTGCAAGTGGTCGTTTTGTGTTGTGCTTCCCACTAATGATATGAAGTAGCCGTCCGCTTTTATTTCGACACATCCACTTGGTGGATGTCGAAAGGTGGGTTTCAATTTCAGCTTTTTCCGGCTCTTAGTGAGAAATTGAGCGAGGCCAGAATCAAGGAGCAGGTCTGATTCGAACTGGGCGAAAGACGAAAATGTTTAAAGTAATTTTTCCAAGATTATCCTGAATAAAGTTTCATTCGATTTCATGTTCTTCTAATCTGACAAGGGCAGCAAATGAATCATTTACTATTTGCCGTAGAAGGGTTTTTTCATTACATATAACTAAGTGAATAAATGAGAGCAGTTGTAGAGCCGGTAGTCATGGTAATGGTGTGTCCAGCTGCGGCTTGTGGTAAATTACTAGTTGGGTAACTGCGTTGGAGAAGGTTATTTGTAGGGGACTATCTTTTGGGGTGCTGGATTAGTAAATGGGAATTTCGAACTACGGCGTGGTTGAAGTAGTGTTCGACGTCAGGAAGATACAGTGCTAGGGATTCTCATATTGAACATAACTCTGATGCTATTCCGATCCTTCCATTGTGTATTGCTTCAACAATAGCCCAGTGAATAAACAAATTTAGCATCAACCTGGGCACGATTCATTTTGAACATTTATTGTTAACGAACAAATCAAAGAAGTTTTTCGCTCGGAGCCGAGTGCAGTTATTATTTGGCAAAAACAAATGCGATATGTGGCCTACTTTTTGGAAACTGAAGCAAGAAAAGTACTTTTAGTGGAGGGGAAGCCCAGCAATGTTTTAGACGTCAGGTGAGGGAAAAAATTTCAGCCAACATGGGCAACTGCGGGTAAGGCGACAAGAAGTGGGATCGATGCAACCGGGATTCATAGTTTCTCGTCCGTTTTTGGGTTACAGTGTTAACCGCAGCCTCTCGAAGTCCATGGTGAGAGGCTAATAATGTGCCGAAGTTGAGAGACACTGGCGACGCTTAACGTGTTTAGCGAACTGGTGTACATCTCCAATACAGGCCTGGCGAGTATGGAGGAGACGGCTCGTGGTGGTGAGGCTACGGGATTTGTGACGTTTGGTCCCCGAAGCTATCTGTTCACTGTGTTGAAGCAGCGTCTGGGAAATTCGAAGGATCCTGACGGTCGATAGAATTAAGAAGAGAGGAAGTTCTCATACAGCTGACCGAAGGACGCTTGATCGTGAACATGATGTTGAGAATGTGTTTGAGCGCAGAGTGACGTGCTGCTCTGCCATCTCGTTCTTATCTTTGTGGTAGTTCATCGTATGGGGGATTTCTGGGGATGGCAACATGAGTCTCGACGATGTGCTGCACTTCCTGTACCGACAGCACTACTCATGGGCTCTTCCGACAATTGGTATCCAAAGTCAAGGAGAATTCAGTCAGTGGGAGCAGGAGTGATGTTCTCCGCTGCTGCTGTACAGAAAATATGCCTGTAGATGGCTAGTTCTGAAAGGAAAGTGATGTGTCCGTGAATTGTGTGAACGCTGCGTTAGGAGAGCTCGTGGAAATAGCAACAGGGTCCTCAGATGATAGAGTGGTTTTAAGTGCTCCTACGAGGGTCTCAACAGTCTCAAATGCGGCTTGAATGTTCACGGCAGGAACTTCTCTGGTTCCGACGCGAAACGTCTCTTTGGTTGGAAGTTAATGTTATGATGCCTCATTTGATGCGAAAAGAGCGGTTCTCTGACCTAGTGTCTAGTAACTGGTTCGCAACAGGATGGTGATTACTACATGGCCGGTCCTGGTGTGGAGTAACCGGCTGCTAAAGACGTCCATACGAGGCGCAAGTCGTATGTAGGATTCGCGGCTATCGTGGGCTTGGTGTTGCGGACAAACAGGCATGAGTTCAAAGTACTATCCAACTGAACTCCTTCGTGCGACTTGGAGAATACCTGTTAGACGATTATGGCTTTGCGTGGACTAGTCGATTCAAGTAAGACGACTCTTACTTTAATGAGATTAAGGACCCTGGTGCTCGCAAGACTGCGTGTTGACCTCGTGGCCATCCAGCTTCTAGTGCGTTTTCCTCAGCGTCACCTGGATGCGGAAGAGATGCCACATATAAGAGACTACCGCTGCGAATTCTCAGTGTGCATACGTGTCCCTATTGAATGCTCTCCTGCCCCATTGACTGCTGCTAATGCCGATCAAGTAGCATTGGAAATCTTAGCTAAGCATTGTTTCGATCCAACAGAGTCCCTGTGAGTAATATGAAGGTGACTTTGAAGCAGCTCATCAGCAAGGATTTCAAACTCCGGTAGATACAAAATGCTTTCCTAAAGTTGTATGCGTAACGAATGGGTCTAGCTGGGTGCGTCCGGCCTCCCGCAACACGTGGGATTCTCAGAACAAGTGACCAGGCTGACGTCTACTCTGAGTACCAAGGATTGATGGTAACTGTAAACTTCACGGATATTGAGAACTAACATGATTCCACATATTGGCTCAGTGTGACTGGCGTTAGGAGCGAAAGCGAAGTGGACGACTCTCAAGAAGAGGAATGATTTATGAAGCAGCGTGAGATAGAATTCTGCTCCCGAGTAGTTCTTGGAGGCTGCAGATATTGGCGGCATAGTTTGACTGTATATACGCAGACAAAGTCTCTAATCGACAGCGTTCTTTGTTGAGGCAACAAAGAACGCTGTAGATTAGAGACTGAAGAACGACCATGTCTATGAAGTTGTAGTCTGATGTGGTGCCCTGAACATTTCGTTGGTCGGGGGCTAAAATAAAGTTCTTAAGCCTCCAAGATTCCTGCACCACGCCTGCACCCCATCCGGTGGCAACCATGTGTTAGCAATCAACTTCGCTTCTGCGCACGAGAGTCGATTGTGGTCTCTCCTTATTGCTGCATTCCAATAAGGAAATGAAATTGAGCAGTTCCAGTTCCATTTGCGGAGATGAGGACTTATTAGATCACATCGATATGTACCCGGAATCGCAACTATGGCCATACACGGTGTTGTCTTAGGTAGTTCTCATTGTAGGAAGGATGGTGTTTATCACTCAATGAGAGGTAAATCTCCTAGT